AATATATTCTCTGTAAATTTCTTAATTAATTTTCCATCCGCCACTTGTCTCACTGATATGCACAATTGTTTTAAAAAATAAGTAGTCATTACACTCGTTAGAAAACAGAATGTCATGCACATTGATTAAAAGAACCATTTGAAACTTACGCCTTGAAAACGTCATCACATAAGGCTTTCATGAAGCGTCATTGTGAGGTTCCGCTCGATTTGGCGATTCATGCCTATTCCATGGATATTGCTACTACTAAGGTTCTCGTTGTTTATTGTTTTTATAAGTTGTCATTCCAATGCCGTCTTAGTTCTATTACCATGACGATGTTATTATGTGCTTATGCTGTCCTACGATCTTCTAGTTGGATAAGTTGTCTTTTTTAAAGTGCGGATGGATGGCATGAGCAAATTCTAAAACTTTTTCTAAAATTATAGAAAGATTACACCACTATGTATCCCACCAATGCAACTTGCCTTTTAGCAACATCCCATTGATATATATTTTCGTCTATTCCAGGTATGGTTGAAGACAATTTGAGCCTGTAACTTTCAATTTTATCAGGTTGTCCTCTTGGTTTACCTCTTATATACATTTAATTTGCTGTTTTGACATTGGTATTTTCTTTCTGATACTGGATTGATTGTTGAAATGAAAATAGGAATCCTAGTTATACGGCAGGGTTAACTAATATATTTGCTGAAAGTTACTAAAATTTGATGGTAATTCTGAATATATACTATACTAGAACCAAAAATTTTATAATCTTGGCATAAACAGACTGGTGTGCCTTGCTTATTTTTTTGGATTTGCTCATTTAGTGCTTGTGTTGTCACTTTTGTTGTTCAACTTCATTTTTTGAAGTGTGAAAATTTTTGTTCAGTAGTTACTATTTATGTCATTGATTGGTTCCTTGCATAATTTGAGAAGGTGCTAGTGTCACCTTGTGTTATTAAGATTTTATTTGCAATTCTAAGTCATGCTCATTTTCTATAAGGAAACAGTCAAACAGACGTACGTTTGCATGGACGCACAAATTTTTTTTCAGCTGGACTTAACAATGTGTTATAAGATGATCCAATTGTCTTTAATTTGATCCTCAAAACCATGAAGAAGATTAAAGATTGCACATAGACTGGTAATATAACGAGTTCTTTTTGGAAATTTTATTTTACAGAATAAACCTAAATTAAATTTGAATTAAATAAAGTGAAATCTACTGAAGTAGCATGCATGTACTATAAACAAGAATAAGGTAAATTGTATTTATTATTATATACAAAAAGGATCCTTTTCCCCAACATAGTTAGAAATTCCTTTCGGGGCTCTAGCATGCATACAAATAAGTGGAGGTGCTAACTATACTACCAGCTTTTTTTACCGGTCTTGAAAACAAAATGGGGACGGATTTCTGGTTTTCCCTAACCGGACACATGTTTGCTATCTTCAAAAAATAGTAATACAGTGGCTAAAGAAGTATTTACATTTTTCCTTTTCAGTTTTTGTCATTTCCTCTCACCTTCTGCATGATCACTTCATGTAAGCTACGATGCACGGAAACTTCTATTAGGGTGGCATCCGTGTTCAACACGTATAGTGTGTCAGACATCGACACTCTTTGAACACTCCATGACATGGCAAGATAAACCAAATGTTGTTTCCTATATTCATATATTCTTTAAATTTATATCACTCGAGAAATGGTTTAGAGATATTTCTCAAGCAAGTGTTCGATATGGCATGTGTTGTGTTCTATAAAAAAAAATATAAAAAATGAAAATTTTAAAGAATTTAACTCGACGTGTCCCTGATACATGTGTGCTCTACTTTTTTGAAAATTCACATGTTGGCGAGTCCATCTTGTCGTGTTGCGTGTCGAAGTCCATGTTCTTGCAACATAGGCCACCCATACCCAATCAAGACCAACATTTCTTTACATTTTTATTCTTTATTTTCTTTGAATTTGTATCACTCGAGAGAGATTTTAGAGTCATTTCTGGAGCAAGTATTTTATATGGCATGTTGTGTCCTATGTTAAAAAGTATAAAAATTCAAAATTTTAAAGAATTTAAATCTACGTGTCCTTGATATGTTCAAAAAATTACGTGTCGGCGAGTCCATCACATCATGTTGCATGTCCATGTCCATGCCGGTATAACATAGCCTAACCTGCCAATGCCCAGTCAAGACCAACATTTCTGGACTTCTAGTGTAGTGGTACACCAAAATTGCCTTTGAAATAGTATGTCTCAGATGAACACCATTGGATATTTAGTGAAAAAAAAAAAAAAAAAACCTCCTCTGCCCATCCCCCATTGTTCAGCCCTCCATTGGGAAATGGGAATGATCTATTTTTGTTTAGATGCTTATAATAATATACTTCTTTTCCTGATTTTTCAGTGTTGCATGTGCATTTGTATTAGTATTATTCAATCTAGTTAAATCCAGACTTCATTTACAGCGTTGGCATAGCTGTTATTGTTGTCGACACCAATGAAAGATGATGTAGATTTCATGCATACTCCATGGTTTTATTATATTGATGTTATTTGTTATTTGGTAAGTGATTTTTTTTTTTCATCTTATCTTGTATTCTTTTCATCCATGTCCTCCTTCGTGTGACCTAGGAGTTTCTACATGTTTGTTTGCTATTTGTACTTCCATGAATCAGTCTTTTTCTTGGAATCTGTCTTATATCACTTCCTGTAGGTAGTCATTGATTAATTTTTCAACATCTCCATTCAGGAACTTCAGAATTTAAAATGGAGCTGAGTTCCATCATGGATGCATTTGATCGTGTTACAAAGAAGCAGAAATCGTCATCGTCAAAATCTCGAGAAATAATTGAACATATTGGACAAGAAATAGAACAAACTTTATCTAGAATACAATCAAGTCAAGATTCTGCATCTGCAACTGATCATAAGTTGATCCTTGGCGAGGTAAAAACCAAGTTGAAAGAGATTGCTCCACTCAGCCAACTAGAAGGCGCACGCAAGGAACTGAACTGTGTGTTGAGCAAGTATCCAAAGATCATCGAGAAATCCTTCAATTCTGATATATCAAAGGCTTTTCGTAGTGTCGATTTTGATATTCATACTGTCAATCAAATAATAGCCGGTCATTTCTACCGGGAGGGTCAGTTTGATATTGGTGATTTTTTCATACACGAGTCCAGGGAACCAGAAGCTGCAGCTGATAAATCTCCTTTCTTGGAAATGTATGGGATACTTGAAGCCATGAAATCCCAGAACCTGGAGCCTGCTCTGAATTGGGCTGCCACCAACAATGAACAACTTAAACGAAGTGGATCTGACATTGAATTGAAGCTTCATCGCCTTCAGTTTGTGGAGATCTTGCAGAACAATGGCCAAGATGAAGCTCTGAAGTATGCTAGAACATTTTTTGCTCCTAATGCTACCAGTCGTATTGCTGAAATTCAAAAGCTTATGGCTTGTCTTTTATGGGCTGGAAGACTCGACTCATCTCCATATTCCGAATTATCATCCCCCGTGCACTGGGACAAATTGGCTGAGGAGTTCACCAGGCAGTTCTGCAACCTTATTGGGCAATCTTATGAGAGTCCGTTGAGTGTGACAATATCAGCTGGAGCTCAGGGGTTGCCAACTCTTCTAAAGCTGATGAATGTGATGACTAACATAAAGCATGAATGGCAATCCATGAAACAATTACCCGTGCCCCTGGATTTGGATAGAGAATTCCAGTTCCATTCGATGTTTGTCTGTCCAGAGAGCCGGGATATGGCAAGTGAAGAGAACCCCCCTATGCTGATGTCATGCGGACATGTACTGTGTAAGCAATCTATTACAAAGCTGTCCAAAAATAATAGCAAACGGCCTTTCAAGTGTCCTTACTGTCCCTCTGAGGTCGAAGCAGGTCAGTGCTGGCAGTTGTATTTCTGATCTTTGTTAAACGATTTACTATATAGTTGTATAGCCTTCCTACATGCATCCACCTCCCATAGAAAAGAAAAGAGAAGAAAAAGTTACTGTACTGTTATGAATTTTATGGTGTTTCATCTAGAGTAGATTTGGTCTGTGTATACTGTTCTGCTTTAGTAGGCCGGTGAACTGTAAATAGACATTCTTTGCATATTTATGGAAGCATCATGGGCATGTATGCTTCACTTCAACCAGTGAGAATGCAAACTTGGGCCATCATAATAATGAATGGGGGAAAAGGTGCTCTCATGGAGGATAAGCAGCAAAAGAGAAACAAAATAACAATAATTTGAATTTGATCGCTGTGGAAGAAGGAATCATTATACATGACTTACACCCTTTTCTTTTGTTACGTTAGCTAATATATATATCTGTAGAATTGACAAACATAATTCTGAAGAAATGAATATGATGTGAAAAGTGGCATCAAATAGTATCCCAAAGGGCTCATTTGATCAAGTGTTTCAAGATTTCGGAGATTTTTGAAATGCCATACAGAATAATGGGATCAAAATCGAATATATTAGGCAACAAGGGTTGATGGTGGGTGTGATTATAGATAATGCATCATCAATTATATTCAAATGGTGAAATGGATCGCTACCATAACCTACGAATACACTTCAATTTTACCTTTGGGGCAACATGTCCTTTGCAAAAACAGAGTAGATAAACGAAAGGTGGGCAATTCATAATTTATGTTCAAAAAGTTGTAAAGCTGCGCAATTTCAGGATACAAAAAGTCACAATATTGGTAAGGTAGATGAAAGTGCCCTTTCTAGTTTTAAATTGTTCCAGATTCTTCTTCTTCTACTACTCTTTCCGACACAGATTTTCACTTTAAAAAGCTTCCCATTCTTTGCCTTAATATTTACAAACGTTCAGCTAGTCATGCCAACATCTAATTATTACAACATTAAAAGTTTGTTCCCATTTTTATTGGGATTTTCACCAAAACATATATGTATATATATAAAACTATGTGGCCATCTCAATTTATGATGCGTGGTCCACAACTCTATACCATGTGGACCATCTAAATTTTAGGATAGAAACTGCTGAAAAATCCAAGTTGTTGATGAACTTTCAATTTTCCCCAACTAATTGAAAATGACTTTTCCTTTTGGGAAATTAAAAATTCTAATCAGAACCAGTTTACTTCAAATTTAGCTTGACAATTTAGTCCAAACCAAGTTTCAGTCTCAGGAAAATGCTGGTCTTACAGTCATGCTTCACAGTTAATTTCACGGCATTTCAAATTTGCTGACATGGCAATGACCCGGCCCAACAAGAACGAAACGACCCGGCCCAAAACTTGATTTTACCCCCATTTCCCACCTTCCCCAAACCTTCTCCCCCAAATGACCGACAAAACGCGAAGAGCCGATCTCCACCAACTCTCCCCGTCGCTTAGGTAGCCGTCGATTCCAGCCAAATCCGCGCCCACAGTTGGTGTCGCCGTCGACCTGCAGTGCACTCCCCAGCCGAGAAGAGACAAAACGCTTGGGGAATGAGAAGAGGCAAAACCTTATCTCGCGAACCAGTGAACCTTGCTGGTAACATCTCCCTTCTTTTTTGTCTCATTTTTCTTCTTTTTGCTGGTCATTTCGTGCTTGGGGCGAGTATTAGTTGTGTAATGGTGACTGTGAATTGAAAATTTTGCCCAGCAATGTCGTAGCTGGAATGTCATGGCTTGAATCAATTATTCCACGAATGAGATTTTATCAGATTGAAAAATTCTTCCTCCAGCAATGTCGTAGCTGTGAAGGGGATAAAATGGCTTTTTCATTGCCTTGGATTCAAAATTTCCACAGACCTGTGATTTTGAAGACATAGACGAAGAACAGTGAATTGAGCTTTGGAAAATCTGTCCCATATACGAATTAAAGCAGTTGTTTTTTTTGTGAATTAAAGCAGTTGTCTCATTTACGTGTGTCTGTTATGTGTGTGAATTAATCTTTGTCATCTAGCTTTGGAAAATCTGCAGCGATTAAGTTGTTATTTGATTGCAGTTTGATATGTTCCCTTTTGGTTCGTTAAATTTATTGCAGTTTGAAGCTAAAAAATTGGTTTATGTTGTTCTATCTGAAAAAATGGTTTGTATGATTTTCATATGTGGATATTCTGAGAAAAGGGTTTGTAACGAGTTGCTTGTGTAGGCAAAAATCCTATAGTATTTGTGCCTACTCAGTTTAAGACTACTCTGATGGCAGGAAAGAATAGGGGAATTTGTCAAAGTTGTAGACAGGTTGGACATATGCTGTCGAAATGCCCAAAAAAGATAAGATGTCCAAATTGTGGTGCGGGCTACATCAAATGGATGGAGGTCGAAAAGAATAATGAACATAAAGGCCTACTGTTTC